ATATCAGTTTAAATGCTTAAATTTGTTTACATATTATATTATTATAAAATGAAAACAAAGCATTTAAATAGATCTAATTGCTAAATATTTTCAAGAAAAGTGAATATAATCTAATCTTTTATAATCTAACCATCCCTGAAACTCCCACACACACAAAAACATCTATTTAAACTAATGATGTATTTTGATTTTGCACGCGGGTGGGTGTGTAATTGTTACCGTTCTGTGTCCATCAACCGTTATTTCCACCACTTTAATCAAACCACTCTTCTTTAAAACATTATGATTTTATTTCACATGTCTTTGCGTTTCTCGTTGCCTCTCGTATTGAGCTATTTGGTCCGCACACACGACTCAGTCAATCACACGTGCTCACATCGTTCTCTTTCTATGAAACCTGTAAACTGCATTCACCAGTTTTCTCTCTATAGCGGTTGACCAGAGCACTGCAATTATTTCTCACTTAAACTACAATCAAATGGATTTCCCCACACGTTTCGCGTCAGTCCTCTGCGTGTCATTTTATTCTTTTCTGCGCGGCCGCCGCTTAGAAGTGCGCGGCCGTGCACGCGCGCAGCTTAGAGGGAACATTGGACTGGAGATATGCCGACATTACCCTGGATACCAGAGCTCTCGATACACCACAAAGACTCTCTGTCCTGGTCACAGATGAGCCAGCGAGACTCGCACCAACAGTTTGTCCTCTTGTGAACTCTGATATGTCTTCCATTATGTTGTGTGAACTGCAATATTTTTTGTTCAGCTCTGCTAATTCAACCTTCACACTGCTATTAAAATCGGTGAAGATTGGCCACCAGGTCATGCATAGGTTCAACACTATATAGGCCAGTGTTTCAGTTTCATTGTCCAACACCTGTATCGACCAATCGATCTTCATGGTAATAATAATGTTGCATTTTATAATAATAATAATAATGTTGTTGTTTTTTGTGAGAGACTGCAGTCCACTGAGAAGATGATAGTTTAACTTTCTTGAGTGTGTGCGCTCAGTAAGACCCCTGCGGATCGATGCCGAGGGAATCTGATCAGCAGAAGGTTCTTCCGCCCGCAGACGATCAAACTGCCTTCCCCTCATTAACCCCCTCAGCATCTGCACTGTCCCAACACTTTAATCACTTCCTTCATGCAATCAATAGCCTTTATAAGCCAAGCGTGCTCCTGCATAGAAACATCCTTTCTGCCGCACGCAAACGCTCACGTATGCACATTCAAACATGGACGTGAACGTGTCTGAACACTCAAATGCATAAATGCAATTTTACTTTTGCTTAAATGTTTCTGGTCTTATTGTGAATGAATCTTCAGTGTTATTCCAATGAAAGAAACATCTGTCTTTGTAGCTTAAAAAGAGACTAAAGAGAAATAACAATGAAAAATACTTCTAAATCATTTATTAATATTATTAATTAATGTTAACCTCAACATATACATTATTCAAATCAAAAGTTTTATCAGTTAACATTAGTTTATGTACCTGGGCTGACATTGAACTAACAATGAACAGCTGTGTCTTTATCAACGTTAAAAAGATGAATAAATACCGTAAAATACTTAAATACTTGTTAGTCAATGCATGAATTAACATTACTAGGACCTTTTTGTGAAGTGTTAGCAAAATTATATGAATAATTATCTGTATAGATCCTTCAACAAAGTCGACTCAGCGTGAAAGTCATTGTGTAATTTGTACACTGCATATCGGTATCACACACACACACACGTACACACACACGCACACACACACACACACACACACACACACACACACACACACACACACACACACACACACACACACAGATCAGACCGTAATGGTTAATGAGAGAAATAACTAATGACAATCATGTTTGGTCACAGTCAGTAATCGAATAATATTAGTCATTAGGACACAGCTGTGATCAATTTTTCCACTAATTGTAAATTAATTATGGGTGTGAGCAAATCAATACTGCAGAGGAGAGATGATACTGCGGTCACTGAGGAAAAACTATGAAACGACATGAGAGATGATGAAAGGTCGCATGCTCAACGCTGTTTAGTGTGACCGCCTGCTGTGACACACACTTTAACGGCTGCTTTATACTGTAAACACACACACACACACACAGTTTTTTTGCTCTCAAGGTTTGCTCTCAAGGTTCACTGTCTGGTTATTTTGTTTACTGAGTCAAGCATCTCTGTAAATATCATCTCTGTTAATATCGAGTTGTTATAAATACTTAGAGCATGTATATGTATATATTTTTGCCCAGCAACATATTTAAAGTTGCACATAGTTCATACTTCACCCGCATACATACAGTACACTCACATAAAGCAATATATACTAGAAAATCTGCATGATTGTTTATATCGTCACAAAATGTAAACTGTATTATTGCACAGCTCTATATATAACGTTTTATATGTAGGCCTATTACATCCAATTGTTATCCATACATACAAAACACTCACATAAAGCGATATACTGTCAGTATATATTTATTTAATTGTAAGTTGTAACTAAATTATCGCCCAGCTCTTTATATAAAGTTGTATAAAAATGTGACCCTGGATCACAAAACCAGTCACAAGTAGCACGGGTATATTTGTGGCAATAGCCAACGATACGTTATATGGGTCAAAATGATCGATTTTTCTTTTATGCCAAAAAGCATTAGGATATTAATTAAAGATCATGTTCCATGAAGAGATTTTGTAAATTTCCTACCGAAAATATATAAAACATTTATTTTTGTGAGTGAATGCAGCACAATCGCGAACATAAATGGACAACTTTAAAGGCCATTTTCTCAATGTTTCGATTTTTTTTTATTGTACTTTCAGATTCCAGATTTTCAAATAGTTGTATCTCAGCCAAATATTGTCATATCATAACAAACAATACATCAATGGAAAGCGTATTTATCCAGCTTTTAGGTGATGTTTAAATCTCAATTGCAAAAAATTTACCCATGCAGGTTTTGTGGGGTCACAAATATGTCCAACTTTATACTCACACTGGGCGATATGTACTAAAATAGCACATCTCAACTGTTTGATTGCTTGTATCATCGCAAAATGTAAAGTATATTTTCAGATATTAAGATATAATCATCAACATCATGATTTTCTGCAAATCTGCTTTGAAACAATTTTGTGTATGTGTATTTTGTCATTTTTGCGCCCTCTGCTGGTAAGGTGGATCAGTGTGGCCCTAACCAATGAGCTTAAGTCTGTGAAGGACCCTAATGAATATTCATAACCCTGGGTCTAGTCTTTCTTTAAGACATGCAGCTGTCAATGTCAGCCTGATAAGTCGGATGTTTGAAGCATGAGTGGAGTTTTAATCTGTGTACCTTTGTTGCTCTCTAATGCGACTAATGAGTGATGAGCGCCAGCGTGCGTGTGCTTTACACATCCAATAGATACGTAAGAGGGGATTTAAGCACACACACACACACACTTTAAACATCAGAGACTGTGACGATTTTAGCTGCTTCTCTCTTTGATGTTTCAGAGCTGCGGTTTCATTTTGGCCCTGATCCCCTTTTAATCTTCACATACACAGATTCAGAAATCTCTCTCTCACACACACACACACACACACGCGCGCGCAGAGAGAATCCACAGGAAAAGAGGTCGGATGAACATGTCACTATTGTTCTCCTGCAGTCTGCTGAAGAATGAGGCTGATTTCCAGGAAGATGAGCAATATGGCATGTAATAATTTATAGGCTCATTAAAGGACTGGATTCTCTTCTCTCAGTCCGACTATTTTCAGGGTGCTTTTTTCATCTTCCTGCAGTCGGCGGTCTAATTTTCTCTCTCTTACTGTGAAAACTCTTTTTTTAATGATTGATGCACAGGGTTTATATACTGATTAATGCCTTTGTTTTAAAGGCCATTCTCGGGCGTGACCTTTAACCCATATGCCGCTACGATGATCTGTCATTTGAAATGAAACACTGCACTGAGTGTTAAAAATAGTAGGTGAATCAGTAGGCGTTATTCAACCATTTCAAACAATAGTGTGCTACTTTATCATATAACATTGCTTGTGAGAGGCATTCAGTTATCGTCTGTGCAAAAAATGCTTCGTTGGCTTTCTTTAATTCAATTTAGTGCAAAGCAAATATGCTATTATGAAAATATCATTTGATTTTACCCTTCTTAATGTGTGACTGGTGTGGCATAATAATATTTAGTATTTCTGCACGATATAGTATGTATACTGTGCACAGTATGCTAATTTTCTGAACACATGATATGCCTGGATCAGTGCTATTTTAGTTTTATTATAAACTATTATTGTATTTATTAATATTTTGAATTTGCATTTATATATAAATATAATATATATATATTTCTAATTAGCTTTAATTTATTTTTATTTCAGTAAGTAATTTTACTACTTCAACTCCTTTTATTTTGTTTAATGTCCCAGGGTGGCATTTCTAATTTTTGTTTAATGTTTTCATCTAATATTTAAATTTTGTTTTTTATTTTATTTATTTATTCCACTAATCTTATAGTGTTTTAAACATGTCAACATGGAGTAATGACTACTGTTTTTTTCACTAGCAGACAGTATATAGTACAGTATATAGATAGTACAGTATATATTGAAAATGAAATTTATAGTTTAGCTAGATATGTGGAAAAGGCGTGGAAACTTAGGCAAAGGAATTTATATCCTGACCTAAATTGACGGTGTCTTGTCTTGTTTTGTTTGTTTATATTGTGAAAATGATGGTGATATATCTTTTATGATGGTCGTCTTCCTATGTGCTTTGTATGATGGTCATCTTTGTCTATTATGTTTGTTTTATGTCATTAGTGTCTTTTAAGCCTAAGGGCTGGGCATGTAAGTGCAAGACACTTTAATAAATAAATATATAAAATAAAAAATAAATAAAATATAGTACACAGTATATAGATAGTATAGTATATAGTACAGTATTGATGGTGAGCATGACCTGTGTTTGTCTGTCCCGCAGCGGCTCCGGGTGGAGATGAGGTGGCGCTGTACGTGGGCATCATCATGGCGGTGGTCATGTGTCTGGTCGTCTCTGTTATCGTGGCTCTGCTCGTGTATCGCAAGACGCATCGGCGCTTTCACTCTGACATCATCGACTCGTCTGTGCTGAACGGTGGCTTTCAGCCCGTCAGCATCAAGCAGGCGCGCTCAGGTGAGACCATACAGCTTTTACTAATGAGCTCGGATTGGTTAGCGGTTATAATGAAAGGATTTTTGTAAAGAAATTATTACTTTTATTCAAAAAGGATGCATTAAAATGACAGTAAATACAATGCTACAAAAGTGTATTTTTCAAATAAATGCTGTTCTTTTGAACTTTCTATTCATCAAAGAATCTGGTTGCACTTTATTTCGATAGTCCACTTTAGACATTCTACTAACTATAAGTAACTTTTCAACTACATGTCAACTAACTCTCATTAGAGTATTAGTAGACTGTCTGCTTAATATTTGTTAGGTTATGGTTAGGTGTTAAGTTGACTTGTAGTTGTCAAGTTGCTTATAGTTAGTAGAATGTCTGTTGGGGGAGCATCACAATAAAGAGTTGGCAGATATTAAGCAGACAGTCTACTAATACTAGTACTAATACTAATACTACTAATAATATGTAGCTGCAAAGTTACTTATAGTTAGTAGAATGTCTAAAGTGGACTATTGAAATAATGTGTTACCAAGAATCTTGCTAAAAAAAAACGTGATTGCCACAAAAATATAAAGCAGCACAACTCAACATTTATAACAATAAGAAATGTTTCTTGAGCAGCAAATCGGCATTTTAGAATGATTCATTTTATACATTCATAGAAAACAGTTATTGTAATGTTTCACAGGATTACTATTTGTACTGTATTTTTCATCAAATAAATGCAGCCTTAGTGAACATAAGAGAACGGTAATGTGCATAAAACAATTTACGGTCACAAAATGAATTTATTCAATTTATTAAAAAAAAATATTATTATATATTTAAACCAATAAATATTATATATTTTTCAGCGGACTTTCTTTTGTCTGCAGGACAAATATCGTCTGGACTAGGGCTGTACTCAACCAAAGAAAATCTTGGTCGACTGAAGTCCTGAAATTTTCGACTTAAAATCGATTAAAAAAGACGTTAGAAAAAAACCCGTTAAATTAATTAGCTGCGCACAGTACGCAGTACTTGGTAGCCTTGTTGTCCGCCTAAATGAATTATAAATAAACATAAAAAACTAGTGGGCTATTTGCAGTATATTAAATCGTTTTTGACCTAATTATTTTGCACTGAAATGAGTCTAACACACGAGTCTGTCGGCTCTGACAGCGTTGCATCACGGGCACCTGCGCATATAGCCTATGATTTCCGAAAATAGTACTATGTTGTTAACTAGTGATATCATCACAAGAACTGTTGAGGAATATGCAACATAATTTAGACAATTATTTTTGTCATATGTTATAATAATAAGTTATAACTGTCAGACACTATCAATTCAGCCGCTCTGTGCATGTCCTCGCACCGAGCGAGGGTGAAGCTCAGCTTCGCGGTTGAGACACTAATAGACTATTAACTTTAAGCTTTTGCTCTTAATAAACACAAAAGGCACGTCCACTTTAATAAAAAAAGAATATTTATTAAACAAACTAGATCAAGAGCAGAAACGAAATAAAGTGCATTACTGAAAAATAAAGCATCTTAGGCTCAAAACTAACACAAACAGTCGGCATTGCGCATTAGGCTCCAAATAAAAAAGTTAGGTTATCACACTAAAACATTGAAATATGCTAATTCTGATATGTTCATATAGCCTACTCAAAACAGACAGGGCAAGCTAACGCAGACAAGTGAGCTTACCACTTTTAGATGATATGTCGTGTTTGTCGTCGAGCTGTGGAAAACTGTTGCTTGCAAACTTGCATTCGACCTTTTTCCCGTTATCAATTTTAACAAAATGCTGCCCCACTGTCGATTTCTTTGTTGTTGACATGTGAGAAGAGGACTGACTATTAAACGCTCTCACAATTAAATAAATAATATTCAGCATCAAACTTTCTATAGCCTACTTATCGTTCTCTCTTGGGTTGGGCTAATCCAAAAAAGGTGAAAACAAGGGGGGTGTTCTGAAGACAGACTGTTACCTGTGAAACAAGGCTACTCTGAAAACAGCCCCATTAGCAGTTAGTGCTTTCCACCTGATGAAATGAGCGCGCCTCAGCCCGGCAAAACTGATGAAATGAACGCGGAAAAAAATCGACCAATCAGAATTTTGGTCGAACCAGAACGTATCGACCAATTAATCGACTAATCGACTAGGCCAATACAGCCCTAGTCTGGACCGCATCGTTCTTCAAATGATCTGCTTTTGTGTTCTGCACAGGAAAAGAAAGTAATAGGCCTACAGGTTTGGAGCAAAACGAGGGTGACGAAATCATGACTGATTTTTCATTTTTGGGTGAACTATCCCTTTAATCATAAATGTAACTATTTTTGAACATGGGTGTCTTTTGTCATATTGCTGTTTTTAGGCTTTTAGGCACTGCAATCACTGTAACGCACATCCTTGAGTAGATTATTGCTTTAGTAAAACATTCAAAACACTATTCAGACAGAATCTCTCTTACTGCTGATTTCAGTCAATGCAACCGTTTCAGCAAGGAACGCGTGTGTGTGTGTGTGTGTGTCACCGTAAGACACAGGAATGATTAAAATTCCAATCAAGTGGTGAACGGAATGGAAGGCAGTGTTCCGGTGTTAAATTGTGAGGTGTGTGTGTGTGAGAGAGAGAAAGAGACTCAGGTGACATTTCATTTGAAGAACATTAGAATGCCTGTCACTCTCCAACCTGAACAGGTTATCATTAATGAAGAATCGTCGTTCTGCTCGCTCTCGTATTGTCTCGCTTTTCTCCTCATTCTCTCGCTGGTTTTCTGTGTTAATTAAACATGAAGCGGGCTGTAGGTGTAAATGGCACCCTGTCGGGGCGAAAGCGGCAGTGAATGAGTTGATGAATACAGCGGTAGGGGATGTTTTGATGGTAGAGCGAGACGTTCCACATCCCTCAGTTCTCCTGTTTTGCTCTTTCCCGCCGGAGGCTGTAGATTCGGATGCGTTTACATCGGCAGGTGTGATGCAATGCAGTGCGGTTGAATGAAGTGCGGTTGTATGATGAATAACTTGAACTCGAGCGTCAGGAGTGTGAGTAATGCTCACACCTGAGTAACTAGAGAGAGAAAGAGAGCTGGTGTGCAAAGTGACAATCCTCTGTTTAGTCACTGTTGGAAGCTGAATGTTAATGAGCAATCAGTATGGAGATTACCAGCCGCTGGCTATAAGAGTCCTTTACAAGCTCTCACACACACACACACAGTGATTTCATTTCAAAATAGCACACAACAGAAAAACATACAAGGAATAGGTCACCCCCCCAAAAAAAAAGAGTCATTCAGCCACTGCTATGTTGTTTCCAAACCCGTATGGCTTTTTGCATTGCGTGGAGTTTCGTAGAGTCACCAAGCTGCTCCGTTCCAGCCAATACAAGTGGAGAGTAGCTGTTTACATCCAAGTTGTGAATTTAAATTATGCAAAAATTATGTAGAATATCTCAAAAACCGTTTATGATTAAAGCAGTGTTTTGGCTGAATAAAGATTGTCACTTCTAGGGAAATGAAAATGAAAGTTGCAGCCACTGTGGCTTTCTGTGGTAATGTAGTAAATTATTTGCGAGTGTGTAGATGAAATGCCCTGATGAAACTGGTTATTGCATATGAAAATAACCAAACACAGTATGTCAGTTTAAATATGATGACATCAAGAGATTTGGCACACAAAAAAATGTAAAAGAAATGTATACTTTTATTTTGCAAGGATGATGAAAAAGTACAGTGTGATGTTACAAAACATTTACTGTTCTTTTGAACTTACAATTATTTCAGGATTTTTTGATGAATAGAATCACAGTTTCCACAAAAATATGAAGCAGCACAATTGTTTTCAACATTGATAATAATCAGAAATGTTTCTTGAGCAGCAAATCATCATATTAGAGTGATTTCTGAAGGATCATGTGACACTGAAGACTGGTGAAAATTCAGCTTTGATCACAGGAGTAAATTCCCTCCCCAACATCTTCAAATGTTATTCATGATATTTAATAGTAATAATTTCCCGTGTCTGTTTGCAGCAGATCTGCTGGCCGCGACCCCTGACCTGTCCACAGCGGCGGCGCTGTATCGCGGTCCAGTTTATGCCCTCCACGACATCTCGGACAAAATCCCCATGACCAGCTCCCCTCTGCTGGAGCCACTGCCACTTCCAAACCTCAAGATCAAAGTCTACAACTCCTCGGGCACCGTGACCCCTCAGGACGACATGACCTCTGACCTCTCCGCCACCCTGTCCCCGAAGGTCACCCACTCTCTTCTGGACAGCGACCCCATGACCCCACGCAACCAGACGCTGGCACGCACACGGGATCCCACGTGCACAGCGTTCGGGTCCTTCAACTCGCTGGGAGGTCTTCTGATCATTCCCAACTCAGGTGAGATCGCACACGCATGCACACACACCTCATTATGTGTGATTTATGATGCACAATCACACTCTGGTCCTCACTGAGTGTCCAACATATTTACGAATCGCCATGTGATATAATTTATGATGATTAATTGATTGTGTTGATAGTCCTACATTAGTCTAATTAAGGCATGTGGCTGAATTGGTTTCCAGTAAGATGCAATGCAAATGTCACATTCACAATCTCGCATGCATGTGATGAGGATAAACACCGTCAGTGACAGTGATAAATGAATGGAGAGGATGGCAGGATGGGCAGCAGCTAGTAATCCACGTAATGAACTGCAAAAATGACACATAACACTCCTCTAACATTATCTATCTATCTATCTATCTATCTATCTATAAATATATATATGAAAGGATGGACGGATGGATGGATGGATGGATGGATGAAAGGATGGATGGATGGATGGATGGATGAATGAGTGGAGGGATGTGTGGATGGATGGATGGATAGATGGATGGATGGATGGATGGATGGATGGATGGATGGATGGATGGATGGATGGATGAAAGGATGGATGGATGAATGGATGGATGGATGGATGGATGGATGAAAGGATGGATGGATGGATGGATGGATGAAAGGATAGATGGATGAATAGATAGATAGATAGATAGATAGATAGATAGATAGATAGATAGATAGATAGATAGATAGATAGATAGATATCTTGTCTAGGTGGATGGATGGATGGATGGATGGATGAATGAATGGATGAAAGGACAGACAGATAGATGGATGGATGGATGGATGAAAGGATGGATGGATGGATGGATGGATGGATGGATGGATGACAGGACAGATGGATGGATGGATGGATGGAAGGAAGGAAAGAAAGTATGTTCATCTGAGTTTTGAGTCCTAATTAGCCACAATCTGTAATGTCATTTCAGGTGTGAGTTTGTTGGTTCCAGCCGGTGCGATTCCTCAGGGTCGTGTGTACGAGATGTTTGTGACCGTACAGAGGACAGAGAGCATGAGGTAAAAAAATAACACAACACACACAGACACACAACACACACAGACACACACACACACACACACACACACACACACACACACACATCCCAAACATCACCCCCACATCCCACTGAGTGGAGAAATGGTGGTGTTTTCCAGGTAATGTTATAAATACACAGCACTTTACGTATCATTATCACGTAAAAAAAATTGAATGAATGTGTTAAATGCTTAATTAAAACACTACCATTAAAAGGTTTGCGATACAGTAAGATAAAATATAAAGAAATGAATACGTTTAATACAAAAAAGACATTTATAATGTTACAAAAGATTTCTATTTAAAATAAATCAATTATTTTGAACTTTCTATTCATCAAAAATCCTGAAAAAATGTATCAAAGTTTCCACAAAAATATAAATATTTGTTTTCATCTATGATAATTGAGCACCCAATTGACTTTTTCTGAACTTTTGACTGGTATAGTAATTCCTTATTACCTTTCAAACAGTGCTGGTGGTCGTTGTGTGTGTCACTGTACCTTCTACAGAGATTTCAGTGAGACCGACAGCAGAAAACAGGCAAATGTGTGTAATACCTCTGTCTCTCTCAGGCCGGCGGTCGGGGACGGGGAGGCGGTTCTCAGTGCTGTGGTCAGCTGTGGTCCCGCGGGCGCCCTGTTGACCCGTCCCGTCATCCTCACTCTACACCACTGCTCGCACGCCCACTCTGACGACTGGCAAATCATCCTCAAGAGCCTCACGCAGCAGGACCAATGGGAGGTGAGGAATTCTAATACGGGCCAATAGGACAGCCAGTGGCTGAATGAAAGCATCACAGCGAGAGGAATCAGGTCAGGGAAACTCAGGAGATGAGCCGCTCCATTTCAATAAACTACTTATCCTGCAGAGAGAGGGAAACATGACTGGAAAATAAATGTAACTATCAGTGAAGGCAGGCAGGGTAAATTGGCCTGCTGTGCATGGCAGGGCTCTACAAATAGACAACACAAAATACAATTATTGCAAGAGTGAAGCGGGGAAAAGGACGGGGTGTGTTTATCAGGAGGAATCAGGGCCGGGATTCCCTCGCAGTGCATGTGTGGACGGGTTTTTATTTCTATGGGGACCAAATGTCCTGAAGAGCACGCGGTGTGGGGATATAGAAAACCTGTCAGAAACAACAAAAGAAGAAATGATAATATGTTGTGCAAAGACAGTGATAGCTATTTTCAGGACTTGTCATTTTTGTATTAATTATTTCTGTTTCATTGTGGAACATGGTTAAGTAAGGGTTAATGCCCGACGAGGTGTGCACTGTCAGGTATTAATGGGCGAGGCGTGAACTGTCCGACGCCTCCGCCGAAGTCCATTAATACCTGGACAATTGACCCGCTTTATACCATGGTCACTTGCCAAATAACACATTTTTAAAACATTAGTTTATATTTTAATTAGTTTTACAATCGAAATCTAAAGTTTTTACAAACAATAACTTGGTTTCCCTGGTAACGCCTGACGGTTTATTTAGCAACCGGAGATATTTATAGTCCGCTCAGCTTGTAGAGTCCTTCAGTTTAGCTAACTTACGAGCCAGAAAGCTAACGTATTTTTTTTTTATGTAAGTTTGGCTTGTCTAGCCATGGGCATTACACTTTTGTTTTTTTTAAACCTATAATTAAAACACACAGGTAGGCATGTTTTTTTTTTTGTAAGGGCTAACTAGATGTTTGTTTTGATACAATAAATTGTAAACGGATACTTTGACTGCCTGTTGCTATGGTTACTCACAGCTGATGTAGCCAGCGCATTTATTTATTAATTTCAAACGGTAAACAGTCCGTTTCACCAGAACTCCTTTACTAGGTGTCCTCTATCACTTTTTAATGGACACCCTGCAGCCAATCAAAAACGAGTATTCACCCAGACCATGGTATAATCACTAATAAGATGTACTGTATTACTTTATTACTTTAAGATTAATCATTTTAATCCACTGACAGTCATGATTTTTTATATATATATATATATATATATATATATAGACAGACAGACAGATGGACAGACAAACAGATAGACAGATAGATAGACAAACAGACAGACAGACAGATAGATAGATAGATAGATAGATAGATAGATAGATAGATAGATAGATAAACAGACAGACAGATAGATAGACAAACAGACAGACAGATAGATAGATAGATAGATAGATAGATAGATAGATAGATAGATAGATAGATAGATAGATAGATAGATAGATAGATAGATAGACAGACAGACAGACAGACAGACAGACAGACAGACAGACAGGTTTATCTTATAAGTGTGTGGTAGATTTCTCCATCCAGTATTGCTGAGACACTGATGTAAATGTGTGTGTGTTGTGTGTCCAGGACGTGGTTGTGGTTGGAGAGGAGAACTTCACGACTTCCTGTTACGTGCAGCTGGGAGACGAGGCGTGTCACATCCTGACCGAGACTCTGGGATCCTACTGTCTTATTGGCCAGAGCGTCTGTCCGTCAGCGGCTAAGCGAATCAAACTGGCCGTGTTTGGGCCTGTGGTCACACCAGGTGTAGACTACCACATCAGAGTTTACTGCCTCGACGACACACAGGACACACTCAAAGTGCGGGAATCTGCTTTTCCTTATACACTTCCTGTAACCAACAACAGTCATTCAGCTTTTCCACCCTCTCTGACCTTATGAATGAAACTGTCTGCTGTTGTGTCTTTATGTAACTGTTGTATGTAAATGAACGCTGTTATGATTTAGGTTAAGATAATGTCCGGGATTACAGATTTCAATATTTTTCTTATGTTTTAAGTTAAAGGAACACTCCGACTTTTTGGGACTTAAGCCTATTCACCTTATCCCCCAGAGTTAGATAAGTCCATACATACCTTTTTCATCTCCGTGCGTGCTATAAGTCTGTTTGACGCACCCACCGCTAGCCTAGCTTAGCACAAAGACTGGATGTAAATGGTTGCAGCTAGCATACTAATCCAAATAAGTGACAAAATAACGCAAACATTTTCCTATTTACATGTTGTGATTTGTATAGTCACAGAGTGTACAAAAAACAAAGTCACATGAGACACAGACATATTTTAACCGTACAAATACTGGGAACTATATTCTCTGAAGGCAAAGCACTGCTACTTGGGCGGAGTGATAACCGCAGCACCTGAGACGAGCTCTCTGCTCCTCACCATGGCGCGTCTCAGGTGCTGCGGTTATCACTCCGCCCAAGTAGCAGTGCTTCGCCTTCAGAGAATATAGTTCCCAGTATTTATACGGTTAAAATACACTCACCGGCCACTTTATTAGGTACACCTGTCCAACTGCTCGTTAACACTTAATTTCTAAGCAGCCAATCACATGGCGGCAACTCAGTGCATTTAGGCATGTAGACATGGTCAAGACAATCTCCTGCAGTTCAAACCGAGCATCAGTATGGGGAAGAAAGTTGATTTGAGTGACTTTGAACGTGGCATGATTGTTGGTGCCAGAAGGGCTGGTCTGAGTATTTCAGAAACTGCTAATCTACTGGGATTTTCACGCACAACCATCTCTAGGGTTTACAGAGAATGGTCCGAAAAAGAAAAAACATCCAGTGAGCGGCAGTTCTGTGGGCGGAAATGCCTTGTTGATGCCAGAGGTCAGAGGAGAATGGCCAGACTGGTTCGAGCTGATAGAAGGGCAACAGTGACTGAAATAACCACTCGTTACAACCGAGGTATGCAGCAAAGCATTTGTGAAGCCACAACACGCACAACCTTGAGGCGGATGGGCTACAACAGCAGAAGACTCCACCGGGTACCACTCATCTCCACTACAAATAGGAAAAAGAGGCTACAATTTGCAAGAGCTCACCAAAATTGAACAGTTGAAGACTGGAAAAATGTTGCCTGGTCTGATGAGTCTCGATTTCTGTTGAGACATTCAGATGTTAGAGTCAGAATTTGGCGTAAACAGAATGAGAACATGGAACCATCATGCCTTGTTACCACTGTGCAGGCTGGTGGTGGTGGTGTAATGGTGTGGGGGATGTTTTCCTGGCACACTTTAGGCCCCTTAGTGCCAATTGGGCATCGTTTAAATGCCACGGCCTACCTGAGCATTGTTTCTGACCATGTCCATCCCTTTATGGCCACCATGTACCCATCCTCTGATGGCTACTTCCACCATGTCACAAAGCTCTAATCATTTCAAATTGGTTTCTTGAACATGACAATGAGTTCACTGTACTAAAATGGCCTCCACAGTCACCAGATCTCAACCCAATAGAGCATCTTTGGGATGTGGTGGAACGGGAGATTCGCATCATGGATGTGCAGCCGACAAATCTGCGGCAACTGTGTGATGCCATCATGTCAATATGGACCAAACTCCCTGAGGAATGCTTCCAGCACCTTGTTGAATCTATGCCACGAAGAATTGAGGCAGTTCTGAAGGCAAAAGGGGGTCCAACCCGTTACTAGCATGGGGTACCTAATAAAGTGGCCGGTGAGTGTATGTCTCATGTGACTTTGTTTTTTGTACTCTGTGACTATACAAATCACAACATGTAAATAGGAAAATGTTTGCGTTATTTTGTCACTTATTTGGATTAGTATGCTAGCTGCAACCATTTACATCCAGTCTTTGTGCTAAGCTAGGCTAGCGGTGGGTGCGTCAAACAGACTTATAGCACGCACGGAGATGGAAAAGGTATGTATGGACTTATCTAACTCTGGGGGATAAGGTGAATAGGCTAAAGTCCCAAAAAGTCGGAGTGTTCCTTTAAGTGATTTCATAATTTAATATAAATATGAAATTTAACAAAATAATTTAGGATTACTTCATTTTATATCATTTTTTTTTTACTATTAAATATGTGCATACATCAATATTGATATTTTTATATTTTATATTTTGTACTTTATATTAAATGTTGTACATCATTAAAATATTTAGTAAAGTAATTTAATATGACATATTTTTATACAATTGATTATTATTATTATTATGTAACAAACTTCTATACTATATATAAATGGGCTCGGTAATGATTGGCTGACATAAATCCCATATCAACCTCGACAGCTGAACAATACAGACATGAAACTGCTCTTTTAATTCTTTCAAATATACAATATACATTTGCATAAATTATTCTTCAACTGACCAAAGTGTGAGAAGGTTACATCAAAAGCATGCATTTTAACATTACATTTTGATGTTAAATATTGTGTTACGAATGGTGCAGTGTAAATGTACGGTGTGTGTGTGTGTGTGTGTCTGTGTGTTTACAGGAGGTGCTGCAGATCGAAAAACAGATCGGCGGGAAACTACTCGATGAACCGAAGTCTCTGAACTTCACTCACAGCAACCACAACCTGAGACTGTCAATACATGACATCCACTCGCAGTGGAAGAGCAAACTACTCACCAAATACCAGGTGAGGAAACATCGGGTTATGTTTCATCTTTTGAAAGATGAAGGTATTCTTAAGGTGAAGTCGAGTCTGTTTATAGAGCACAGAGACGATTAACTAATTTAGGTTACGATATTGTCAGATACTAGATCTACTGGAAGAATGACATTTAATGAGGGCCAGAAGTCATTTCATATAATATAACATTTAATATAAAGTAATTCAATATTACTTATTTTTTATGTCATAATATAATTTATTATTATTATTATTATAAAAAAATTAAACAGACTTTAATATTAATATAATAATATAATGCATTTTTTTATTATTATTACAAAAAATATATACAGACTTCCATATTATTTTTTAGAATGTAATAATAAATGTAGAATTATTAAATATATACAGATGCCAGTATTCATATTTGTTGATTATAATTATTTATTTTATTTAATATACTATAATATAAAATGTCATATAAAGTAATAAAATATTACTTAATGTTTCATATAATTTATATAATTTCATAGAATTTAAATATATATTATAATATATATATATATATATATATATAATTTATTAATATTATTGTTGTTACTATTATATATACAGACTTTTAATATTTTATACTTTAATATTTGATTAATTGTTTTAATATTTTAATTTACATGATTAAGTTATTATAACATTTAAAATAGTCTTTTATTGTTTTTTTTATATATACTGATATATGGTAAAGATATAGCCTGATTATATAGTCATTTAATATTACTTAATCTTTATATTATTTATTATTATTATTATTAAATATATACAGATTTCACTGTTATACAGATTCGTTATTTTTTATTATTTTCATATATTTAATATTTGAATTTAAGTGATTAAGTTATATAACATTTAATATAAAGTATTTTAATATTACTTAATATTAGTTGATATCATTTGTTATTATTAGTAGTAGTAGTATTATGTGCAGAGGTGATGTGATGTGTGTGTGTGTGTGTGTGTACAGGAGCTGTGTTTCTCTCAGGTGTGGAGCGGATCCGTGCGGCGGCTGCACTGCTCCTTCGCTCTGGAGCGTCAGAGTGTGTGTGTGTGTGAGCTGTGCTGTAAGCTGTGTGTGAGACAGGTGGAGGGAGAAGGTCAGATCTTCCAGCTCTACACCACCCTGAGTGAGGTACAGTATCCACTGCTGTCATCAATCACACAACCTCGCTAGATCACACTACCCTAGCACACACACACACACACACACACACACCGTAGCAATGCCCACCACATATTCTTCAAAAAATGCATTTGTGATATTTGGATGAATATTATTTCTTAGCTTATCGCAGTGCATTCTGTGAGTGAGATTGTTCATTGTGTGTCTATGATCTGTGGTCTTTCACACACTCCCCGTGTGTGTTTGTGTCTCTGGAGAAGAGGCTGTTTCTGTGTAATCCATCTGACGGGCTGAGAAGAGCCTCAGCTGCTCTTAACACTCTCACTTGTCTGTCTATACATCACAGAGGGTTTTCAGGAAGCCGCTGTGTCTTTCTCTCCTCGGCTTTAATCGATGTGTCTAATTAAGAACAGCACAGATTCATTAACATTATAGATGGATGCATTACGATGGATTGAGTCCTTCTGGGCTTCTGTCAGACTCATGTTCAATGCACCTGCCATTTTAAACTAGTAAAAAGTACATTGATTTTGAAAGTAGATTGACTTTTTTTATATATATATATATATATATATATATATATATATATACGTATATATATATATATATATATATCAAAGATGCAAATTGTGTTATACTTGTACAATAATATTAAATTAAATTGAATAAGGGGGATTCTACCAGGATTTTTTTCTTTTTTTTCTTTTCTTGATGTGGAATAATCTTTTTGTAATTTTCTTGAGAAATTAGACTAGTACAATACTAATAAAAAGAATCTAATAGAAATCTAATTTTAAAACCTGGCTTCAGTATTACGCCCATTTCTGGCTGTGGCTTTTCTCGTAAAGATTGTTTTTTTGTGTGTGTGAAATTATACACTACTGTTCAAAAGTTTGAGGGTTTTTTAAAAATATTTTTAAAGGAAGTTTCTTCTGCTCATCAAGGCTGCATTTAATTTTTTTAATACAGTCAAAACAGTAATATTCTTAGTTATATTTAATATTATTAGTAATATTTAATTTAAAATAACTGTTTTCTATTGTAATATATTGTAAAATGTAATTTATTCCTGTGATCAAAGCTGATTTTCAGCATTATTACTCCAGTCTTCAGTGTCACATGATCCTTCAGAAATCATTCTATGCTGATTTGCTGCTCAAGAAACATTTCTGATTATTATTATCAATATTGAAAACAATCTCATATTTTTGTGGACACCGTGATAAAAAAAATCAGGATTCTTTAATGAATAGAAAGTTCAAAAGAACAGCATTTATTTGAAATATAAATCTTTTGGACATAATGTTTTACTGTCACTTTCGATCACTTTAATGTGTCCTTGCTGAATAAAAGTTTTTTTTTTATTTATTTTTTTATATCTTACTGACCCCAAACTTTTGAACTGTAAATGTAAATATCTATCTATAAATTACAGGAATGTCTGTCTGTCGGTTAATCGAATATCTCTCGAACCGTTAGTCCGATGGATTTCAAACTTGACAGGTGACTTGCTACGGGCGCGAGTAAGTGCAGTGCCGAGTTTGACGTTGGTCGGATTAGAAATGCAAAAGATATCGTTAAATATATCTGTAAAAGAAGCACACATTGAAGTTGTGGTTTAAAAATAAACATTCTGACATTAGAGAGGGTTGTGGTTTAAAAATTGTGGTTTAATAATTGTGGTTTAAAAATAAACATTCTGACATTAGAGAGGGTTGTGGTTTAAAAATTGTGGTTTAATAATTGTGGTTTAAAAATAAACATTCTGACATTAGAGAGGGTTGTGGTTTAAAAATTGTGGTTTAATAATTGTGGTTTAAAAATAAACATTCTGACATTAGAGAGGGTTGTGGTTTAAAAATTGTGGTTTAATAATTGTGGTTTAAAAATAAACATTCTGACATTAGAGAGGATTGTGGTTTAAAAATTGTGGTTTAATAATTGTGGTTTAAAAATAAACATTCTGACATTAGAGAGGGTTGTGGTTTAAAAATTGTGGTTTAATAATAAACATTCTGTCAGCTAAACATTAAGTCAGCTACACTGTTTACTTGAAGTTTACATTTACTGAAGTTAAAAGAAGTAAAGAAGTAAAAGTAAAAGTAGCGATTCTTTTCGAGAAATGTAGCGATTCTTTTCAAGGTTGTTATACATTTATTACAATGTAATTATACATTACAGTGTTGATATACATTTATTACAATGTAATTATACATTACAGTGTTATTATACATTTGTTACATTATTATTATTATACATTTGTTACATTATTATTTTGTTACATTATTCTTTTTGAAAAAAGTAGTGATTTAAGAAAAAGTAGCCATTCTTTTTGAAAAGTAGCGATTCTTTTTGGAAAAATTAGTGTAATTTTTTTTTAATTATACATTTGTTACAGTCTTATACATTTATTACAATGTAATTATACGTTTATTACAATGTAATTATACACTTATTACAGTGTAATTATACGTTTATTACAATGTAATTATAAATTTATTACAGTGTTATTATACATTTGTTAAATTATTATTATTATTATACATTTATTATTTGTTTGATTCTTTTTGAAAGTAGCGATTCTTTTTGAAAAAACTAGTGTATTATACATTTATTACAATGTAATTATACATTACAGTGTTATTATACGTTTATTACAATGTAATTATACATTTATTACAGTGTTATTATACATTTATTACAATGTAATTATACATTTATTACAGTGTTATTATACATTTGTTACATTATTATTATTATTATTATACGTTTGTTATTATTTTGTCACATTATTATTTTTGAAAAAAGTAGCGATTCTCTTTGAAAAAGTAGCGTGTAGAAATTCTTTTTGAAAAAAGTAGTGTAAAAAAGTAATTATACATTTGTTACAGTCTAATTATACGTTTATTACAATGTAATTATATGTTTATTACAATGTAACTATACTATGAAAAACTGTGTGTAGAACTATGAAAAAGTAGCTTTTCATTTTTGAAAAAGTAGCGATTCTTTTTGAAAAAGTAGCGATTCTTTTTTGAAAAAGTAGCGATTCACTTTTAGAAAAAGTAGCGATTCTTTTTTTTTTTTCAAAGTATCGATTCACTTGAAAAAGTAGCAATTCATTTTTGAAAAAGTAGCCATTCATTTTTGAAAAAGTATCGATTCAATTTTGAAAAAGTATCGATTCACTTTTGAAAAAGTAGCGATTCTTTTTGGAAAAGTATTGATTCTTTTTTTTGAAAAAGTAGCGATTCTTTTTTTGAAAAAGTAGCAATTCTTTTTTTGAAAAAGTAGCAATTCTTTTTTTGAAAAAGTAGCAATTCTTTTTTTGAAAAAGTAGCAATTCATTTTTGAAAAAGTAGCCATTCATTTTTGAAAAAGTATCGATTCTCTTTGAAAAAGTAGCGTGTAGAAATTCTTTTTGAAAAAAGGAGTGTAAAAAAGTAATTATACATTTGTTACAGTCTAATTATACGTTTATTACAATGTAATTATATGTTTATTACAATGTAACTATACTATGAAAAACTGTGTGTAGAACTATGAAAAAGTAGCTTTTCATTTTTGAAAAAGTAGCGATTCTTTTTGAAAAAGTAGCGATTCACTTTTAGAAAAAGTAGCGATTCTTTTTTTTTTCAAAGTATCGATTCACTTGAAAAAGTAGCAATTCATTTTTGAAAAAGTAGCCATTCATTTTTGAAAAAGTATCGATTCAATTTTGAAAAAGTATCGATTCACTTTTGAAAAAGTAGCGATTCTTTTTGGAAAAGTATTGATTCTTTTTTTTGAAAAAGTAGCGATTCTTTTTTTGAAAAAGTAGCAATTCTTTTTTTGAAAAAGTAGCAATTCTTTTTTTGAAAAAGTAGCAATTCATTTTTGAAAAAGTAGCCATTCATTTTTGAAAAAGTATCGATTCAATTTTGAAAAAGTATCGATTCACTTTTGAAAAAGTAGCGATTCTTTTTGGAAAAGTATTGATTCTTTTTTTTGAAAAAGTAGCGATTCTTTTTTTGAAAAAGTAGCAATTCTTTTTTTGAAAAAGTAGCAATTCTTTTTTTGAAAAAGTAGCAATTCTTTTTTTGAAAAAGTAGCAATTCATTTTTGAAAAAGTAGCCATTCATTTTTGAAAAAGTATCGATTCATTTTTGAAAAAGTATCGATTCACTTTTGAAAAAGTATTGATTCTTTTTTTTTAAAGTATCGATTCATTTTAGAAAAAGTAGCGATTTAACTGAATTTGTAAGTCAGCTACACTGTTTAATTCTGAATATTATATTTTATTCTGGTGCGCTTAACGTTAGCCTTTCTCAGAGTTTAGGCTCCTGTGTAATAGTAGCCTAGGCTATTCAGCAACTCAAACATACCAAACCAACCATTACTAAAAACACACAAAAACTGATTTTGCAAGGGCATTGCACTAGTATATACAATAACAATCAAAAGAATGGTAAAATAGTGACTGCATTGCACAGATTTAGCGTTGAATGTTTTTGCAGCGAGTGATGATTTGGTTGCATTTTTGTGGGAAACTTTATATTCTCTGTCACACAAATGCAAGGCGACTGAACTTCTCTCATATCCTCCAGTTTTATTCTTATAGATGTACAAAAGCAGAAGCATGCTGTTGCTTTTTGCAAATAATATCACGAATGAGTCTCATTTAATTAAAGCGCCTCCTCCACACACACTCACACACAATTGAGATTTCAGCTCGAATTTTAATGCATTTGAAATGTCAGTCGATATTATTTCCAAGAAGCAAAGTATATCTCCAGCAGTGAAACAGCCTTGATTCTGTGAGAGCTTTATAAATACCATAAGAGCAGCCGAACTCTGCGGGGTGACGGACGCCAATTCTGACACTCTCAATCTGCTGTTTTATACATGTGAGCAGCGAGCCTTTCAAATCAACAAACGCACGTTATAGCAAGACGCGTGTCAGTGATCAGACATGTTATCAGTCTCTGTTTATTCTTAAGAATTTCAAACTCATTACTGTCAAAGTTATGAGCAAATACTCGCCATCACATGATTATAACTGCATTTTAAATGTACACTTCAGATTAAGAATACTTATATTCAAGGCTTGACATGAACTTTTTCGCTCACCAGTCGCCGTGGCTAGTGGTTTTCCAAAGTTACTAGCGACAATTTTGACATTGATACCATAGGGAAAAACTGCCATATAGATATTTTTAATATCATCTCATAATGTGGCAGGTATGTTAGGTTGCTGTCACTTTAAGTCCTGATGCACGGATCCATTAAACTGTTACACATGCGTTTTCTTTCTGTTTACGTTCACTTAAAACATAACTGACTGTGTTTACATGAATATCTCACCTTCTCACATTTTGACATTATTTTGTGTGTATTTGACTGTTTAAGTGCAATAAGCTGCGAAAAAGAACTTAATTTAGTACCGAGATGTGGCTTTATGTGCTGCACTTTGGGTGTGAACACAAAATCTGCGGGAATAAGTAAAATTATGCGCAATACACACAATCCCACGCCGAAATTTAAGCCCTGTAACACCAATAATATTCATTCGGAGCAAATGAAGTGAGTGAGGAGAGGCGGGTTTGTGTCACTCGCTGTCGGAGCGATGAGAGAGAGAAGCTGGTATAGTTAGTCTATTCTGCAGAAAATCTTTATTGAAGCGTTTCGGATATTTCAGAATTTTTGACAAGACTACATTGCACCTAGTTTATTATTTCATATGCCTTTTTTAAAAGACTACAATTATTATACAAGATTCAACCTGCCAAAGTGGCTAGTATGAGTGACTGCGTTACACGCCGCCACTGCTGAGATACACACACATTTGGTGGGTATTAATGTCAAGCCCAGCTTATATTTCATCTATGATGTTCTGGGTCGTTGCTTACTGGTTCAAATCCTAAGAGTCCAAGTGTCATCCTAGAACCAAGGTACAATAGTTCAGATTTCCAGCTTCAGAGACGAGTTAAGTAACTCTGCTTGGATGAGGGAACTTGAGGTTTGTCGTGGATAAAGTCTGATCACTGAAAGGTTGTTTTCCCGCTCAGAGTGACCGATCAACCATCAGCACTGAGCTCTCGATCAGGACACTTTAATCTCAGGTTACTCCAGGACTGAACCTTTAACCCGAGTGTGTAAGCAAACAACCATCTGCTAAATGACATCCTCGATAGTTACAGATGGGTGATTCTGGCTGTGAGAAACACCAAAACACCTCATTTATTTGAAGGAGTGTGTGTGTGTGTGTGTGTGTGTGTGTGTTCGGCAGGACGTCCAGAGCATCGACACATCCCTGATGGACCCGGGCAGCAGTATCACAGTGCTGGCCGGTCCGAGCGCGTTCAGAATCCCCGTCAGCGTCAGAACCAAACTGTGCAGCAGCCTGGACGCCCCACACACACGCGGCAACGACTGGAGAATACTGGCACACAAACTTAACCTGGACAGGTGACATTTACACACATCAACACTGCATCTGCAACCATTCACACTCGCAGTGATGCAGCCCTTCAATTCATTTTTCATTAGAGTTTATTAAAAAAAAACATCTAAAGGAGTCTACGTTTATTTGATCAAAAATGCAGTAAAAACAGTAATATTGTGAAATATTATTACACTTTAAAGTAACTGTTTTCTAGTGTAATATATTGTAAAATGTCATTTATTCCTGTGATCAAAGCTGAATTTTCAGCATCATTACTCCAGTCTTCAGTGTCACATGATCCTTCAGAAATCATAATATGCTGATTTGCTGCTCATTATTATTATTACCAATGTTGAAAGCTTTGTGGAAACTTTGATAAATTCATCAAGTTAATGCATCCTTGCTGAATAAAGATATATAAAAAAGCCATACTGACCCCAAACATTTGAATTGTAATGTACTATATCAGTTTCTATATCTGTATATACCAATATTGTTAATTTTTAATTATAAGTGGTTTAATAGATATTGGAAGCAAATAATATTAGGGATTGTTTTTACCGTATTTCAACATTTTTCTATGCCAGCTTTCTAAAGTACCAATATGCAATGCATACGGGCAACAGGATCTCATGCTCTTAGGCTTCTTTTTTAAATAAATAAATTATAAATGCTAAAAAAATATATATATACCATCTACAGTAGTTCCCCTGCAACACGGCAAGCTCCATGCTAATTTATATAAATAAGTCAAGGTTTTTATATAACCTCGTACCTAGTATGAATATTTCCTTATCATCAATGTGCTGAGACTGCAGTGTGTATTTTTATTTTTTAAAAACGATAGAAGAGAAACAAATCTGCTCTAATAGAATCTCACCGGAGAGTTTGAAGGAAATTAACGGTGGAAAAACAGCAGGGGAGCAAAAGAGAAATTTCCTGTTGTTCTTTTGGGTCTGCCTGGAGAATAGCGAGAGATAGATTTACTCTCTCTGACTTCAACTTTTCAAAACACCAGCGTCTCTACGCACCTCCACAACTCGTGTAATTAGAGAGGAGAGGCAAAAAAGGCGAAGGACCCCTATGGTTTGAGTTCTGGCTGGGGTGTTACTGCAGGACGGTTAAAGTACCAGAGATCTCATTTCAAACGAGAGAGAGAGAGTTTAGGTGGAGAGCACGCTGTTCACCTCTGAGGACCAACAGGCATGAAAGAGCCAGAAGACGAGAGAGTCTGAGTTCACAGGGGACAGGAAGTAGAGAGATAAAGTGAGGAGGATCCTGGGGAAAAAGAAAGATGTTAAAAGTGAAAAGACGGGCTCTCGAAGTTCTTCTTCAGTCGCAGACTCAAGATCTCCAGAGCTTCTGCACCTTTAACAAACTGTTCAAAACACAACTCACACTGCACGTAGTGTGTTTAAGCTTTGAGAAATACAGGATCTGATGATGTCATATGCCATGTGATGAGATTGTGCCGTACGGTACATATATTTGCTTTATGCACACATGAGAAAGATGGGAATACATGAAGGGATGAACAAATACAAAGCAACAACCTGTTATTAAGGGGTTCAGCACCTTATAGAAATCAGTTGTTTTATTGACACTCACATGTGTGTGTGTGTGTGTGTGTGTGTGTGTGTGATTTTGTTATTTTTTGTGTTATATGAATTTAAATGAATTGCGTCCATTGATATTTACTGAGAAAATGAAGATCATTCCAAGTCTATACATTATTGTGGCAGATGGGCACATCATTTAATAGACATACAGCAATTAATAGACATCATATTTCTGCAGTATGAGGGGCCTTTGAATATTGTGTCTTCAAGTCAAAAAGGTTTATAATCAATGCATTAAGGTTTGCCTATGGTTTTCCACCAAAACAAAAACCATATGGTTTAATATTTGAAAGCAAAGAAATAAAACAGACATAAATATTGGTATTTGTTAGAAACATTTTCAGTAGATTATCTGAAACCTCAATGCTGTTGAAATCAGACGGGGTCGAAACACAAAATTACTATTGAAATTATTTGTATTATTATTATTAATAATAAATACTTGTTTATTTGCAGTGCAGTAGTATTATTGAAATAAGTATTATTTCATAAGAAAAAACAATCCAAGGCACTCGAGTAATAGTAACAAATATTTTAATTAATAATAATCATTATTTTTGTTGTAGAAGAAAATAAAGAAATTATATTTGTTTATTGAATTAGTTATCATATATATATATATATATATATATATATATATATAGTTTTTATTATTATTATAATTATTGTATAGCTGTATTGTATTGAGGGAAAACAGTTTTTCCTCCTTATGTGTCTCTTTAGCTGATCATAATGTTTTATTTCCATGTCATTGCTAAATCCACTTTTTATTGTGTTATTTTATGTATTTTTTTTCAAGTTCCAAATAAAAATAAAAAGTCAAACCAGATTTCACTGGATTATAAAAGAGAATAAAAAACCTAGTTCATTAAAATCAAATCAAAACTTCTAGCACAAATATCTGTGTTGTGTGTTGATGTGTTGAAGTGTTGTGCTCCTGCCGCCCACCTCAGTGTGTGTTGATCTCACCCTACAGGTATCTCAACTACTTTGCGACTAAGACGAGTCCTACCGGAGTGATTCTGGACCTCTGGGAAGCTCAACACTTCCCACACGGCAACCTCAACCAGCTCGCCACGGTTCTGGAGGAGATGGGTCGTCATGACAACAGCATCGCTGCCATGGCGAAGGAACAATGACCCTTACAATGGCGGTGATGTCTAAGCTGAGGATAATTGAGCTCGAGTTGAGCTGCCACTTTCATCGAGCTGAAACAACGATCAAACCCGAGACAGTCAAAGCATCGGAGTACGGAGGAGAGTCCGTGACCTTTCGCATCTTATTCAGTTTCCATGGAGACGTGCGGTACTGCTGTCCATCTACGCGGATGCTGCCGATTTAGGGTTGAATGCAGGGCTGGGGGGGGTCAAAGGTGAACCAGGAACAGGGTCAAGACACTTTAGGCAACCAAAATCTTTGTAAAACCCTCCAGTTTGCACGTGCAGAAATCTCCCACATCATCTCCCGTCTCCTTCAGTGGTCGTTTCTGCAGGAATGTGTGGTGCCATCTAGTGGTTACAGAAACAACACACGCTCGTGTAATATAATATTTTGAGACCTGAATACAGTATTTAGTGTGTCTACAGAGTACCTTAAAGTGGCCTTTAAAATCCGGTTAACGTTCAGATCTGATTAGGATTGTATTATTTTTGTAACGCAGGTGTCCGGAGACGTGAAATATACGTGTTGCTTTGTTGAACAAAAGTGCAGATGAGCACTTGCAGGGATTTGAGGAAAATGTCAGAAGTTGCTCTTTGATTTTCTGGAAGGCAATGTGACGCCACACTGTAATGATCTTCACTGGCCCGACTTCTGCTACATCTGTTGAACTCGCGCGTTCTGCATGGGCTGTTTCTGTTGTGCATCGATCTCAACGTTTATGCAGTTCTCTCTACTATACGCATTATTTTAAAAAGAGGCAATTGATCCATTGTATAAAAAAAAAAACTCCCCATGGTGACTATAGTTTCTGCCAGAATGTGATGGATACAACAGTTATTATTGCCCTTTCACACAGCAATCCCAGTAAATTACCGTCAAATTACCAGAATGACTTTACCGGGAAATGCACGAATATGCTGTTCACACAAACAACCGTTCTACCGTTGCCGTTCACACATCAGCAACAAAATACCGCTGAATGTCGGTCACGAGAGAAACACGTTTATTATAGTATCCAACTGCAGAAGGCAGGGCCTCGATCGCGACACCATGAAAAAGCTGTGAAACGCGGCGCCAACAGACAAAGATGTCCGTTTAACGAATATTTTGCATAGAAAAACTATTAAAAAGCAGCGGCACTTAAGATCCTTGCACACCGAGTCCGAAATTCGCGTCCGAAATTTTCGCACGTTAAAAAATAAATACGACCTCATGTTATGTCAATCGCGCTCGCACACTGCCTCCGAAACTAAAAAAAACTCGTCCGTCATAAAAAATTAACCGGATCGGGTTTGATTTTCTGCGTTTTTTCGCATCCGTAGCAAGCAGTTTGAATGGTGTTTTGACAGTTCAGAGCCACCGAATCACGAATACGGAAAAACGCACACGAAAATTTCGGAGTCCAAAATTCACGTCTGAAATTTTCGCACGTTAAAAAATAAATACGACCTCACGTTATGTCAATCGCGCTCGCACACTGCCTCCGAAACTAAAAAAAACTCGTCCGTCATAAAAAATTAATCGGATCGGGTTTGATTTTCTGCGTTTTTCGCATCCGTAGCAAGCAGTTTGAATGGTGTTTTGACAGTTCAGAGCCACCGAATCACGAATACGAAAAAACGCACGAAAATTTCAGAGTCCAAAATTCACGTCTGAAATTTTCGCACGTTAAAAAATAAATACGACCTCACGTTATGTCAATCGCGCTCGCACACTGCCTCCGAAACTAAAAAAACTCGTCCGTCATAAAAAATTTATCGGATTGGGTTTGATTTTCTGCGTTTTTCGCATCCGTAGCAAGCAGTTTGAATGGTGTTTGAATGGTGTTTTGACAGTTCAGAGCCACCGAATCACGAATACGAAAAAACGCATACGAAAATGCGAGTCCAAAATTCACGTCCGAATTTTTCGCACTTTAAAAAATAAGTATGACCAGATTTTGTCAATGGCGTTTACACACTGCCTCCGAAACTTTCGTCCGTAATAATAATAAAAAACGGATCATGTTCGATTTTTTGCATCCGTAGCAAGCATTTTAAAAGGTGTTTTGACAATTCAGAGAAATCGTACAAGCGAACGCCAAAATCCAGAATGGGGTCTGTCTCTGTCTGACATGGTGATCCACTTCGTCTTGCAGCACAAAGCACTGTATGACAAACAAAGTGCTGAATACAAAGACACGGCATATAAAGACTTATCAAACTGAACCACTGACATCATGAAGTGAACTTGGAATCGCTCGGGATAATCCCGCCGGGGATCCCTAAAAATCTTTAGGTGGAAATTTTACGAAGAGAGAGGACAACAAAATCATCCTCTGCTTGAAGACTCCATTTTGTATTGTTTTGCGAATTTTTTCGCGACGGATTAATTAATACGCATCGGACTCAGTGTGCAAGGTTTCTGTGCGTGACAAATTTTTAGGACGACGAATACGAAAAAAAGCATTCGGACTCAAATCCATAGACTGTACAAAAAGAGTCTTATTCGGACTCAAACCCCTTCGGAGTGTGCAAGGAGTCGGACCTTTAACCATAGATATCCATAATAAAGGCTAGATGTCTCGTCCGCGCTGCTGGCCAATGGAGGTCGACGTCTGCACCTGGCGGCCATCTTGTCACAGGCTCACTCGTAACATTGTGTTTTAATAGGTCATGTACTTTTTAAATAACCATAACTTGCTCAATTTTCAAACGGTTTGGTTTGTTATAAACGTCAGAGATGTAGTTATGACACGGCACACTTATGAATAATAAGTGTATCAATAAATAATCATCCAGAAGTATAGCCACGTTAATAATGTTTGTAAGAAACTAAACCGTTTGTAAATCCGTCAAGATTTCAACGAGATAAGAGTATTTGTGTTCGTGCTGATCACTCGTCTTACATCAGGTACAGAGCCCGCCAGAAAGCTTGCCTGTGACAAGATGGCCGCCGGTGATGACGCTAGAGACTCCGCCGTAAGACATCTAGCCTTTATTATGGATATCTATGCCTTTAACTGTAAACCGCGTGGAGTAATCGCGTCGTCTCCATAAGAGCGCTGTGATTGGCCCAGAGGACACTTCTTACGTCAGCGCGTTCAGACTTCATACGCGCTCATCAGTGGTGTTTTAAAATTAGGCAAAGTCCTCCCTTTTTTAATATATATATATATATATATATCAAATGTGAATTTATGTCCCTGTTACACTTAATTTTCCTGGTTAAATAAACGTTACATAAAAAGATAAACCAAATACAATTCTATTTTGTATTTTTTACACTAACTAATGTTCTATTTATTAAAACCAAGTAAAAATCTCATCAAGTTTTATGCATTTTTACATTTATTTTAATTAAAGACTGTATGTGTGAAAGGGGCTGTTGTTCCTACTGGATCGATGTAATGAAATAAAGTCTTTGTTTTATTTTCATTTCTTTTATGACCCTGAAGGCCAATAGCAAGTTACCACAGGTTTATTACAGTAACTATAACTGTAGTAACGTTTGGTGGAAAGCTTGTGTTATGTTAAATTTGGTAACACTTTACTTAAAGCCTTTATATATAATGCATTATAAAAGCAGCGTTGGGTAAGTTACTCTAAAAAAGTAATTCATTACTAGCTACTAATTACATCTTCAACAGTGTAATTCGATTACTCTACTCTAAAAAGTATTGCATTCTTAATTAATAATTACTTTCTAAATTCCATATCAACCTGGACCAGCTGAACAATACAAGAATAGACATGAAACGCCTCTTATGATTCTTTCAAATGCATATAATATAAAATTGCATAAATTATCCTTGAACTGAAAGGGAGAAGGTTAAATTAAAAACATACATTTTAACATTTGATGTTAAATCCTCTATATAAAACAATAGTGGATTTAACATCAAAATCTGATGTTAAAATGTATGTTTTTAATTTAACCTTCTTTCAATTTAATAGTCTATATGGTATTTAATGCAATTACATCAGAAGTAACTGTAATTAAATTACTGAAAAATTAAGAGTTAATCACTTACTTTTCTTTACCAAGGAAAAGTATTTAAATTACAGTAATTAATTACTTAGTAATGGATTACACCCAACACTGTATAAAAGTACTCTGAATGCATGAATTATGTACTGTATGGTCTCATGAATAATTGTAACCACAGTTATAATACATTATATAATGCTTATCTGTTCATTGTTACACCTTTAGAAAGTATAATGCATTAAAACACCTGACAAACTACTGTAATTTCAGATTTCACATGAATCTGCAAATATTATAATGCATTTTAACGTTGGTTACAATTCCTTATGAAAAGATATAATATATTATAAGGTACATTATGAATACCTTTATAATGCATTATACACAGAGGCTTGAAGTCGCAGCCAATAAGAACAGACTTTATGATTGATATAAGGATGTGTATCATCCGCGATATGAGTCCGAAATAGAAAAAGTTCTGTTAGAAGAGATTTGATATTTTTCTTTGCTCTTCTTCTGAACACTGCCAGCACGCTGGAATCATGTGTTTCTGGTGAATATTAAATATGTCGCTCTGTCACCGCTTCACCCAGACACTTCAACTAGAAGTACCATCTCAGAACTCTCTCTAGTTTAACGAACATTAGAATACACATGAAAGACACTTTACATGATTGAAAAAGTTGGAATATATTTGCTTGTGTTGCTGTAGAGAGTGTATCTGATCATATTTACATGCACATTAATTTGTCTCGAGGGCCTGATGATGTCAGCCAAAAGAAAAGATGTTTCAGAGGCGGAGCAAGTTATGACGTTCTATTGAAGATTCGGAGAATTTTTCTTTTCTTAGGAATAATTTTGACTGATAAATCATTCACCAGACTACGGAAGCCCATTTCTGCCACATAAGAAACACTTTGGTAAATCGTAATTATGACAACAACAAAAATTGACAGTGAAAATGAAATTGAAAAATGAAATTGGCTGTTATAATTTATAATCAGATTTCAACTTTTCTTGTTTTTCTCTCTATATATATTTTTTATGACCATACTATCATAATTTCTGCTTTTGCTGTTATTACGACTTTTTATGTCGTAAGTAGAATGTCATATTTCAACTTTTTAACGTTAGAATGTTTTTTCCCTTTTCTTTTTTATTATAATATTTTGGTTGTAAAGATGTTTTGTCAACATTTTGACTTTTATTTAGACTTTTTATCTCATTATGACTTATAATTATAATAAACGTTATCATTTTTACTGTCATATTTCAACTTTTTCATATTTTAGTTTATATTTTTCTACATATTTTTTTCTTTTGTGACAGTCAAAATTATGATTAAAAATAGAAATATACATTTGATCATAATTTCAACTCAATTTCGACTGTCATAATCATGACTTTAGTCCTAATTCTAACTTTTAATTTTTACGACGACAATTTTGAGTGTTATATTTAAACTTTTTAATGTTATAATTTCTTTTTTTCTTTAATTATAACTTTTTTAATATGTTGTAAAGATTTTAAATTCTATCTCATAATTACGCCGTTACAATTTTGACTTTTTATCTCATATAGTCATATTTCAACGTTTTTTCATATTTTAATTTCCATTTTTCCTCTTTTTTAAAATATTTTTTCTTTTATAACAGTCAAAATTAGGATCAATTTTATTGAAACATTTTATCATAATTTCAATGTATGTCATAATTATGACTAAGTATCTCATAATTTTAACTTTTTTTAAATGTAAATTTTAAGTAATAATTTCAACTTGTCATAATTATGGCTTACTATAATAATTTCCACTTTTATCATAAATGTGTCTTTTTATCATTAGGACTTAAAATTTTGACTGTCATATTTCAACGTTGTTTTATGTAATAATTTCTTTTCTCATTTTATTATAATGTTTATGCCATGTCATAATTTTGACTGGCTTTTTTTTCGGAATTATGATTTTTTTTTTTTTTTGGTTATAATTATGATTTACCAAAAGCATGATTTTTTGTCTTTTGGCAGAAATGTGCTTCCTTACATTAGGACCAGGAAACATGTGTCGTTCTGATTTCATGTCAACTCAAAATATAAAATACCCATTTGCAGGAAATCACCAAAGTCTTTAGCGAGACCTAAAGTTAAACTCACGAATCTTAAACGTGTTCACAGCCGGATTAGACGGTTTACAGTTAATGATGGTCTATGCAAGCGCTTTGCAAAGAAGCTGGCGTATTCGATGCATTAATGTTTCTGCATAAATCGGTCACACTACAGTAGATGCGAGTGTTGTAAATGTGCTGGCAGTGATGTGAAACACAGGGCTCATTACTGGGGATCTGTCTGCAGTCTCACCGCCTGCAGCCGCTGCCACACACAACCAGCGCTGTGAAGAGCCTCCAAACAACTGCCATTTCCCACAATCCACGGCGAGGATCTGTGCGAAAATAAAAGCCACATTAATGAGCGAACCAAGGCAGCAGAAAAGCCCTCCTGAGGTCGAAGAGCAGTGCATTGAGTGTTTGTGTCCGGTGTAAATGCTGTGCCAACTATGCAACGTTTGCTTCTGTACAGGACAATGACAGAACCGCTTGCATTGTTATGACTTGCATGTACAGAGAGGATTGAATCCATAGAATAAAGCTTCATTAAAATAGCAATCAAAAAACACTAATATGTCCGCTGTATAAAATGTATGTAAAGGATTTTTTAAAATAAATTATATTTTTAATCAATGCTGAAAGTGCCCTTGTTTTTTCGGGAGATTACTTTTTAATACTTTGACCTTGAACAATCTTAAACGTGACTGTCCTAACAAACATTTACCATGATGACCAAAAGAGTGAAAAGGATTTCTGTCTTCTATGAATTTTTCTAAAATGTTTTTAGAAAGAAAAATACATTTTATTGGTTGTTTGTTCGAGTCAATAATGCATCCTTTGGTTGTACATTTGGACCATATTTTATTTTAATTTATTTTTGTTCATCCAAAAATGTAGAAAACTCTTTTGTGCTCTGGCAAAGCATTTGTTTTTATGTCAGTCAAATTTATGATAAACTTAATAAAAATAAAAAATAAATTCCTCATTTAAACTTTTGGAAATAATTTCGACTAATTTAAATTTGTTAGAATCTCTTACTTTTTTCAATTTCTGTTTGCCACAATAATGTCTTCCTATCATCATTTTGACTTTTGTGTCTACTTATGTCCTAATTTGACCTTTTTACCTCATTATGATATCATTTTGACTTTCGTATTTCTACTTTTTAATGTTATAATTTCTTTTTCGAGCTGCTTTCCTGCAGAATTGAACTCTGTAAAGCGGCTTTGAAACCTCTGTATTGTAGCGCTATACAAATAAAGGTGGCTCGAAAAGACCTTAAGGATTTTGCATCACAAAAACGGTTCAATCAAACCGAACAAAGAAAACTTCAGTGTTATTAGAACATTTATTCAAGAACTTTGATGCTTCACTCTCATTCTTTTACACAGCTATTTACACAATAAATAAGGCACAGCCTACCAAAAAAGGAGGGAAGCCGCAGCTCTTATGACTTTAATTTCAACCATCACACTTGTTTCAATTCCCCAAACAAGTCATGGTCATGTCCGAGCTGAACAGACTGTGAAAGGAGAGACTTCTCTCAAGGGAGTCATGAGCTAAAGCTCGAGTGTTTATACTGGACACCTGGCTCGATGAGGTGATGCTGCGTCGCACTGAGCGTTACAGGTGCTGGTCCATGAAGCCTCAGGACAGCAGGACTAGAGCGGCCAGCAGTCTCTTCCACAGGGCTGGATATCTGAGCTCTGACCACAGAACACCCAGCTCTCGCATGGCTAAACTCACCGACTGAACCCACGGCGGGCCGTTGCAGGCGGTGAGTTGGGGGTTACCGTCAGTGCTGCTTTCTCAGACTTTAATGTCCTGGGACTCTGACATCTTGGCCAGCGTCTTTTTAATGCGAAGCGCGGTGAGCCGAGAGGCAGGGTTATGAGCCCAACACTCCGTCATGAGCTTGCCCATCTGTCTGAGACACTGAAATCAAACACAATAGTGTCAAAGCCCATTCACACCAAGGACGATAACTGTAATGATAAAGACATCGGTTTGAAAATCATTCTAAATGTATGAAATATTGACATTTTTATCACAAAAAAAACAATAACTGACAAAAAAACAAACAAAAAATTTAAACATGAAGACCACGGTTGTGTATGTTTTTTTTTTTTTTACCCTCTGGGGTCCTTCGGCCCAAATGGACCCGAAGCATTTAAAAAAATTTTTTTTTTTAAATCAGCTTTATCGGAATGGTCCGAAATTTGGTGACTTTGTTGGTACTTGGTATATGAACACCCCCAAAAAATTGGGGACAGGATTTGAATAGTCTAAGTGGTTGTAAAAAAAATAGTCACACTCAGGACCTTCGGGTCCAAATGGACCCGCATAGGAAATGAATGGGAAATTGGCAAAAATGTGAAAATACAGTTTTTTTGTGCGTACAATCTACAAATCAGCCACGATCCAGAAAAAAAGCACACAACAGTGAAGGGGTGAATCTATAAAATATCAAGAGTGCAAAACAGACACATCCACACACACACACACACACACACACACACACACACACACACACACACACACACAAACACACTTTTATACACATACACACTAATAAATTCAGATTACATATGGGTTTTGAATTTTTTAAATGCTCAGTTTGTCCACCAGATGGCATCCATCTCATTTCAAAAATTGCTTTCATGAGGCCTAGGCTTGACTCTAAAATGAAATACAGCTTAAAAAAAAAAAAAAAAAAAATCTATTATATTCAATGGGGGAAAAATGGGTCATAATTATTGCATTAATATTAATTATAAATCTTTTTTTTTTTTATTATTATCTCAAAACACCAAAAAAGAAAAGAAAAAATATTATTAAAAAAAAGAAAAAAGAAAAAAAGATGATTTTTTTAAAAATAAATATTAATCCCACCCTTCCGGCCCATTTGGACCCGAAGCTCCTGAGTGTGACTCTGAAATGAAGGACCCCAGAGGGATAGTTCACCCTAACCCTCATTTCATTTCAAACCCGTAACTTTCATTCTTCTTCAAAACCCAAATGAAGAAATTGTTAAAGGAATCGGAGAGCTTTCTGTGCCTCCATTGACAGCTACACAACTACCATTTTGACGATTCAAAAAGTTCATAAAGAGATATGAATCGAGTGCTTTAGTCTAACTTTTCTGAAGACTTGATCGCTTTATATGATTGAATTTAGGCTTTTATTCACATTTAAACAATGATCAGTGAACATAAACGTAGCTCAACTGAACCTGCTTGATGCGCGAGAACAAACTTCTTGCTGAAGCTCAAACGTGCTTGCGCTTCCGTTTACCACAACTGATGAGAGAGTTGATCAATGTTTATATGTGAATAAAAGCCTAAATTCAATCTGTTCATCATATAAAGCGATCGAGTCTTTTCAGAAAAGTCAGACTAAACCGCTTCAGCTTCAAAGTGGCAGTTGTGTAGCTGTCAATGGAGAGACAGAAAGCTCTCCGATTTCATCAAAAAGATCTTCGAGAGTTTCGAAGACGAACGAAAGTCTTACGGGTTTGGAACGACATGAGAGTGAGGTTTTTTTGTATGAACTATCTCTTTAAAATATGAAATCAGTGTGAAGAGTGAGTGTTTAACCTCATCACTGGTCCAGCGGTTGGGGAAAGATGGCCGTATTCTCTTGATGCACACGACTTCTCGCATGTCTTCATACGATGGGTCATTAGGAACGTGATCGTGATACGGCAGCTGATATTCCTCAACGATACCTGAAAACAATCAATACGGAGATCTCTTTAAAAATCACAAGTGAACCTCTTATTAGTCAAAAAAAAAAAAACTTTTATACAACAATTAAATGAGCAAATGGAGACTTTTTGATTTTGCATACCTCCTGACAAAAAAATAAGAGATTATTGTCACTCACTATTAAATATTAATAAATCAAAAACTGCAAGACTTGAACCTTTCAAATGATGTATAGCTTGTCAAGATAAAATAAAGACTTATTATTACTTCACTTGTGCAGTAAATATAAAAGCAAACAGAAATGGTCACCGGTGCTCCACAGCATGTTTACAGATTAAAACATAAAAATAAATGTTTTTAAATATATAAAGGCAAATGTTGACACTTGAATGAAATATGTACCTGTACTTCATTGAAATGTTGTGAGAAAGGCGAAAATACCTCCAGACACACTTCGGCGGGCGATCTCCCACAGTATGAGGCCAAAGCTGTAAATGTCTGCCATGATGTAGGACTGAAAATGGCTCCTGTTCAGAGTCTCGTCCAGAACTTCAGGAGCCATGAAGCGTTTGGTGCCCACACGTGTGTTCAGTGGGATGTCCACTTCATTAGTGTCGCTGTTCCAGGAGACACAACAGCATTAATACAGTATTTCAATCCTGATGTCAGGATTCTGTACTTTGTCATGTCTTTTATTTTGTAAAGTGCCGTTCATGTTCTTTTGTAGTTCTTGTCATGGTCTTTGTAGTTCTTTCTGTTTATGTTAATTAGTTCCAGGTGTTTCTTGTCTGGGGTGGATTATTGTTTGTTCGTACGTGTGACCGTCATGTGGTTACGGATCTTTTGAGACTATTGTTTACACCTGACATCTATAGGCACTAGGGCTCTTTTTATTAGCATATAAAGTTCAAATGATTTTTGTGGGTTAAAAAGTTGCTACTTTGAGTTTAGTTTGCCAAGCTACAAGCTAATAAGTAGTTTAACTACAGTCAAGCTAGCCTTTTGATAAAGTAGTTAGCTACAATACAATTTACTACATATATAATGTGTGTGTCAGTGTTATTTTATTATTTATACTGTATACTATTATAGTATTTGCTATTTTGAATTAGCTGTTATTTTTAGCATTCATTTAAATTTGAGTCATTTTAAATGCTTTTGTCATTTTAATTAGTTTTCTATATTTCTGTTTAGCTTTATTTTTATTTCAGTTTCATATTAAGTCATTTTAGTACTTCAACTTCAACTGATTTTATTTTAAGTTTTTCATCTAATTTATTTTTATTTTATTTCAGATTTATTTCAAATAACGAAAACATTTTTTTAATAGTTTTTGGTTGTATCTAACAATAAAAATACTGATATATATATATATATATATTTATATGTAGTTTTAGTTATAAAATAGTATTCAATTATCAGGGCATTATGAATCTGATAATAAAAAAAGTGACAGAATTAAACTCAATAAGCACATAAATTAACATTAAACAGTAATCAATACAACTATTTTAAACTATTTGTATAGAGCAGAATTGAAAATAAACTTATAATCAGCCAAGATTGTGTACTAAATATCAGCAGTTAAAAACAAAAATAGCTACAAAAGAGTTGTAAAATGCCAGGCAGGGACTTCTGGGAAGACTTTTGACCCATCACTCAAATGAATATTTCAAATAACATATTTGAACTGGTTGCAAAGATAATAAGCAAGTGGAGTAAAGACGAGCAAGCCGCAGTGAGCGCAGTCGGACCTGATGAACTTGACGGCCAGGCCGAGGTCAGCGATGCAGCAGGAGCCGTTCCTCTTCACCAGGATGTTTTTGCTCTTCAGGTCTCGGTGGGCGATGGCCGGTTTGCCCTGCGTGCCGAAGATCTCCGTGTGCAGGTGGCAGAGCCCGGACACAGAGGAGTACGCCAGTCTCAGCATGGCTCGGCTGTCCAGGGTGGTGCACTTCAGATAGTCGTACAGGGAGCCGTTCTCGTGGTAGTCGGTGATGAGGTAGAGCTGAGTCCACGAGCCTGTGCCTTTAATGTCGGCCGCTATGAACCCTGAGGAGAGAGGCGCTGAGGTTAAAATCACTGCGTGACACTAAATATACTCGGAGAAAGACCACGCTTCATTTAATGTTATAATTAATCTGATATCCGCTTAATTAATTCGAAATGACTGCTAATCAAGACGGTTCAATCGTGCACGGTTCATTTTCCTGTAATCGCTGACTACATGTTCACCAGTAGGAGTGATTAAATGCTGCTAACTTAACTACATTTTTCAGTTGCGCTGCAGTTTTGAATATAGCATTGCTATTTTTTCTAACAACAGCGACGTAGCATGAAAAGATGCAATGCTGCTGTTTGTCGCATCAGACTGTATTGTGTGCGGAGCTTTCCAGCTGAGCGACTTGAGGAAATGATCAAACACAGAGAACGTCCTCAAGCGGCGATTAATTATAGCGACCTGATTTATACGGGATGGTTCATTTTAATTAACTGAATTCACTGATTAATTTGAGTGATCACTCAAACGTGTTCCCCGGAGTTCCTATGTCTAAAATAGTTAGTTAAATGAGTAGCTGACAAATAACATGGACATGCTGAGGATTCGGGTTAACACAGTGGTTCACAAACTTTGTAGGGAAAATATTTCCACGGTCACCACCAACATAAACACTCTTAGACGTGACACTGCTTGCAAAATCCGATCAGATTTATTTGAAACACTGTAATTAAAGGTGCAATAGGTGATTCTCTACAGACATTTTTTTTTTGTTACGCTATAGGATTTATTTGAAATATTGTAATAAATACAGTACTACAACTTCTCACCTTCAACGTGCTTCTCTTTGTGATTTTTGTGAATGCCCTGTTTACACCTGGCATTAAGAAGCGTTTTAGTCGATCGGATCACAAGTGGACGACACTAAATACAGGAGTAAACGGGTCTAAAGCGCTTTGAGCTTGTCCACTTTCGACCTCTTCCAGAGGTTGTCGAAAACACATTCGACCGGATTGCTTTCGTAGTGTAAACGCTCATGTGGTCGAGTGTGTTCAAACAGACACACAATACCGTCTACTCTCCGTCTACTGAACTAATGAGTAACATTATGCGAAGAGCTCTAGCCAGACGGGATTTAAACTGTCGGCTGAAGACCCAAGTTTGGTTTCAAGAGGAAAAACATACCAAGCACAATGTTCTCTCGCCATTCCTGATTTCTAACACACACTCACAGCGTTCGGCTGGTCTTGTGGCTGTCAGAGCAGAAACTAAACCTGATGTTCTCTGTGTGCTTTTCCGTCGTCTCCGGTCGCGTTCATATGTAAATTGCATGGGCTTATTTTGTAAAACCATTCAAATGAAATAAAATCAACTCACACAAATATCCTGTAGTTAAAGATTAGCTACACGAAGGCACACTTTTGCACACACACTTACTAACATAGTCATAGTTATACTTAGTTAAAAACATCTAACTGGGGTTCGCGAGGGGTTTTGTGACTTGATGAAAAGTAAATAATAAATGAAATCATAAAAATGTTAAATGAAATAAATAATTTTAAAATATCAAAGTAAAATACTTACTAAAAACATGTGACCTGCATGTGACCTTTAATCGACATCAGAGAGCTGTGTGTGTGTGTGTGTGTGTGTGAGAAAGAAAGTCTCACCCAGTATATTCTCATGTCTCATGAGGACAGTCTGATATATCTCCGTCTCTCTGAACCAGCTGGCCTCCTCTGTGGTGAAAAAGACTTTCACAGCTACTTTCTCTCCTCTCCATCTACCCATCCACACCTCTCCATAACGGCCCTTCCCAATCTGTGTCACCATCTGGATCTGCTTCGCTATAGTGCGCTGCACCTAGATAGATAGATGGATAGATGGATAGATGGATAGATAGATAGATAGATAGATAGATAGATAGATGGATAGATAGATAGATAGATAGATAGATAGATAGATAGATAGATAGATAGATAGATAGATAGATAGATAGATAGATAGATAGATAGATAGATAGATAGATAGACAGACAGAGAGATGGATGGATGGACGGACAGACAGACAGATAGCTTTTAACTTTTCTTTTGACAGATTGTATGAAGACATTTGAGTTTCTGTGTGTATTTGAAAATAGTTTATCATCAAATGAAATGGTGAAATGCTTGTGAAGTGGCTCTCCCATAGAGTGAGACGCCAGACGCTTATTCACACTTTATATTTAAATAGCAATCATTCTGCAGTTTAATATTTACAGACACTAGTCCATAACACAAGTGTACAGCCAATTTGCCAAATTCCATAACATTCCATGTTATCTATCTATCTATAAATTACAGGAACGTCTGTCTGTGTGTCTGTCTGTCTGTCTGTTATTCGCATATCTCTCGAACCGTTAGTCCTATTAATTTCAAACTTGCCAGGTGTCTTGCTACGGGCCCGAGTAAGTGCAGTGCCGAGTTTGATGTTGTTTGGATAAGAAATGCAAAATATATCGTTAAATATATCGATAAAAGAAGCACACATTGAAGTAGTGGTTTAAATATAAACATTCTATCAGCTAAACATTAAGTCAGCTACTATACACTGTTTACTTCTGAATATTGTAGTTATTCATAAGTAGTTAGTTGTCAGTAGTTAATATAGTTCAATTTTCCATATATAATGTATGTCATTATGTCAGTATCAGTATTTGCTTTCAACCATGCACAAATAAAAATGTCACTGAACTTTTGCTGTGTAATTGTAACAATAAGCACTCAAACACACCAAACCAACAATTACTAAAAACACGCACAAATACTGATTTTGAACTGTTATTCGAACCATTAGTCCGATGGATTTCAACTTGACAGGTGTCTTGCTACGGGCACGAGTAAATGCAGTACCAAGTTTGACGTTGTTTGAAGCACACATTGGCTTTTGCCGCTCTAGCCGCTGGCCACTCTGGCTCACACTGAGTGGCCACTCCCCAAAATAAACATTCTGACATTAGAGGGTTGTGGTTTAAAAATTTCTGAATATTATATTTTATTCACGGCCATTATTTGTAGTAGCCTCACAAACTGTTTGCTCAAGCGTAGCGTTTTCTCTGAGTTCACTGTGTAGCTGCTCCAGCCAAGGTCTGAACCTCCCCTGAATCGACGCGCTTATTCATTTGTGGATGTTAACTGAATCTGTAAGTCAGCTACACTGTTTAATTATGAATGTTATATTTTATTCTGATGGGCTTAACGTTATCATTTCCTCAGACTTTAGGCTCCTGTGTAATAGTAGCCTTGGCTATTAAGCAACTCAAACATACCAAACCAACCATTACTAAAAACACACAAAAACAGATTTTGCACGGGCATTGCACTAGTTCAGTAAATTCCATTTTTATGACTGTATTCTATGTGCATTTCATTGGGCTCTATGTGGATGTTGATTTCATGTCATGTGTGACTGTGTGCAGTGTGTGATTCTCACCAGCAGGGGGAGTCCTGACCCTGAGCCCGAGCTCTGGGACTGCTCTATGAGATCCCGCAGGGATTCTCCGGGAGGAATGAGAGTTTCGTCAGGATGCAGGCCAAGGCTGTAGCGCGGGGCCAACTCATGACGCTTATACCTGAAACACCACACAGACGACTTAGCCAAACTCCACACAAACACAACATGGAGACTTAGACTGAGGTCTCCATGATAAAAAAACAACTTCTTAAAGTAATGTTCAAATAATCTGTCAGATTAAGTCACGATTAGTCTGTGAGGTTTAGTTTCTAGTCATTTCAATTAGCTTTATTTAAGAACAAGTGTCTGTGTGGTAACTTACACACCTGAAGTAACAGAAGATGATGATGAAGGTGAGGATGAAGCTACAGACGGTCACCGAGATGAGCAGAGCGATATGATGAATATCTCCAACTACATAACCTACACACACACACACACACACACACACACAAGTATTATTACATGTCCAAGAGAGAAGAGACCAAAGGTTGAACACGCAACTCTTGCATCTTCACACAGAGCTGAGTGAAATCAGAGCCGTCTCTGTACGCCACAGCACAGGTGAGAGGGGTGTGTGTGTGTGTGTGTGTGTGTGTGTGTGTGTGTGTGTGTGTGTGTGTGTGTGTGTGTGTGTGTGTGTGTGTGTGTGAGACAGACAGACAGAGGGACTTCTATTCTACTGTGCTGATTGATGGCAGTTGTATCGTGACAGCCACAATAAACCCTACAGGTGTGTGAGGCCTTCTGACCTAGATATACTTTTGGGAACAAATCTGACTCTTTTTTTTCTACTAGGAATGGTGCCCAAAGAAAGAAATTACAAAAAAGGCTAAATAATAATTTATTTATTTGACTTTTTTAATAGTAATTAAGACTAGATTATTATTATATGGTTGCCCAAAGAAAAAATAACGAAAGAGGCTAAATAATGATTAATTTTTTTAATAGTAATTAAGACTAGATTATTATTATATAATAATATATTATTATAGTTTTTAGAGTTGTATTAATAGAATGAAGTACATTCAATTGTTTTATTTTCATAAAAAAAATTCTATTTTATTATTATTTATTTTCATTTTAGTTTAAGTTTTAGCAGTATTTTTTTTTTAATTTAGCACTTTAGTACTAAATGTGTTTTTATTTCAGTTTTAGTTTTAATTTACAGTTAGTAATTTTTGTGCTGCAAGGATTTAGCATGTTACTATGCTGTTGCTAAGCGGTTCAACTTAGGGTTGAGGGTTAAAATAACTCACTAACTTTAAATATTAACAATGTAATAATAATGCTTACCTGAACAAACACTACTCAATAGCTGTAGTAAAAGGATCAAACAACCTGAAAATGTATTCCTTGTGGGGACATTTTTGGTCCTTATAAATCATAATAAATTGTTGTTGTTTTTTAAAAGTAAAAATGCATGTGTACTGTGTGTGTGTGTGTGTGTGTGTGTGTGTATGTGTGTCCGTGTCTGTCTGTGAGTGTATGTGTGTGTCCGTGTCTGTCTGTGAGTGTGTGTGTGTGTGTGTGTGTGTGTGTGTGTACTCACTGGGTGTTTGTGTGTGTGTGTGTGTGTGTGTACTCACTGGGTGTTTGTGTGTGTGTGTGTGTGTGTGTGTGTGTGTGTGTGTGTATGTGTGTCCGTGTCTGTCTGTGAGTGTATGTGTGTGTCCGTGTCTGTCTGTGAGTGTGTGTGAGTGTGTGTGTGTGTGTACTCACTGGGTGTTTGTAGGGGAGGCAGTGTTGGGTGTAAGTCTCTGTTGCAGTAGTCCTGATCTGTGCAGCACTCTAGTGCTCGCCGCTGTTTAGAGTTCCCTGTGTCCTAAACACACACACACACGTTATATTAACACATTAACACATCAGGATATTTTAGGCTCAGCAACAGACACAATAAAACAGAACATGCAGCATAAGATAATGTACTGTAGGGGTGATACTTGAAATGAGTGGGGGAAAATAAGCTGTGATATTATTGGTTAATATCATTTTGCCCAATAAAACAAGTTTGATTAGTTTATTGTTTTTAAGTTGTATTTTGTTTTGTGCTATGATAAAGAGAAGTGTAAAGGAATAATTCACTCAAAACACGTACTAAAGACTACTATGGTGATTTTTGGAGCTTGGAAGTAAAAATAAACCATTCATTTTTACAACATGGAAAAGAGCAGCTGTTAAACTGCTGAAATATCTTAATTTGTTTTGCATGGAAGAAAGAAAATCATGAGTATGGAAACTTGTTTCCACCACAGAATCATAAAAAAAAAAAAAAAAGGTACACTACTATTCAAAAGTTTGGAGTTTTTGAAAGAAGTCTCTTATGCTCATCAAGGCTACATTTATTTGATCAATATTACAGTAAACACAGTAATATTGTGAAATATTATTATAATTTAAACTGTTTTCTATTGTAATACATTTTAAAATGTATTTTATCCCTGTGAGTTTTCAGCATCATTACTCCAGTCTTCAGTGTCACATGATCCTTCAGAAATCAATTATAATATGATGATTTGCTGCTCAAGAAACATTTCTAATTATTATCAATGTTAATATTAATATTGTTTTCAAAACTAATCTTGCCACTCATACTCATAGTTTATATCTCGCAATTTTGATTTACTGATTACAAATTTTAAGATACGAAGTTGCATAGTGACAGACAAGGTCAGAATTGTGAGTTATAAAGAGGCCAGGGTGAATAAATGACAGAATTAAATTTTTTGGGTGAAGTGTGCCAGTTGAGGACAACACATGAGTTTGTAAAGTGGGCGTTTAATTCACTGTCGGTTATATAAGGCTGTAGTTTCGTCAGTGATAGAGGACTGATGCACCAACACTTACCGGTACTGTAAGTAGTTTATTTTGGAAATTAGAGTAGTTTATGACTCACTCGGCACTGAAACTCTGATCCGACCAGACCCAGACAACCTGACGTCACCACAGCCGCGCCGCCCTCTTCCTCCACCATAGTGAAGCAGAACCCGTCCGTCCTGAACACACGACACACATGTAATACTGCGAACAGGACGTGTGCAAGTGTGGTGGCATGTGTCCTAATACCTGCATGTGTTATTAGTCGAGTCCTCCGGGCAGTGGTGATAACAGTAACACCACAGGAAGCGCTGAGGTAGAGCCGACGCATCACTTCCTGTCTCCCGATGTTCTTCCACCTTCCCAGAATTCCTCAGCAGCATGGTGTCCAGAACATTAGCTGGAGATGAACAGAAATTGGAAATAAGTCAGTTATATAATAAGAAGACATCTGTCAGAAACTCGCACGACATTTACCCAACTCAAAAATGTCCTTTATTTTCCTTCCTTCCTTCCTGTTTACAGAGGGGAAAAAATAGTGATGAGAGACCGCACTGAATAATTACTCCAGATTTACAGACTCTCAGGATCGAAACACACAGCTTTGAAGTATGAAATGTATGGCATCTGGGGAAATATGGCTGCAAATATCACATCATTCTCACTCTTTCATCTTCAAATATTCACAGGGAGAAAAGGCCCAGAGACATTTACAAATTAAAACTAAAAGATGGAAATGAAGTTTGGACAGACTATCACGTGTTTTGAAGTGATATGAAGAAGTTATTTGAGTTTGTTAAGAATACAAGAAGTGGTGGCAGATTAAAAGGACCCAGACTGCAAAATCATATATTGCAGATTCCATCCTAAAAAAAAATGCGGTGATAAACTAGATTAATTAGGCAAAGTAATTTTTGCTATGTAAAAATGAAATAAAAACAATAATTGGACCATTTTAAACTAAATTTAATTTTCATTGCCTCAAAACAAAATAACAATAAAATAAAAAATAATTATGAATTATTAGTTTAAAGTGTTAATATATATATATTATAATAGTTTATAATATATATATATTAACACTTAAAACTAATAATTCATAATTATTTTTTATTTTATTATTTATTAACCTTGCTGAGAGCACAATTGAGCTTTTGTGTCCATGAGCGAGACACTTAACCCTGGGTTATTGCTGCTGTAATTAGTGCATGGTAAATCACTTTGGGTGAAAAGTAAGTAACACAAAATTATAATACAGGGCTGTAAAGTTGATGTGTGTGTGTTTTCTTCTCCCTCTAAAACGCGCGCACACACACACACACACACAGTTTTAAATGGCCACAAAGGTGCTTATAGAAGCTGACCAAACACCCTTCAGTCAAAATAACTGCACATCTGTGAGCTGTTAAAGAGAGAGGGGGTGCTGAGCGATGGTGTATATAATTTTGACATCAAGACATAAAATAAAGTTGCTTATTTCACGGCTCTCTGGAACATTTGATTCCGTTAGGTCAATTGTGGCATTCAGTGGTCAAATATTCTAGTATAGTTATGGTACAAAGTCATGTTTATATACAGTCAAAAAAGAATTAGACCACGTGTATGAGGTTGGGAACACATTTTTGCCCATCTGTAAACACAGACTATAATAAATCAGGCATTAAAAAAACAATATGACAAATCAATTAATATCTTTAATAACATGATTGAGAAACTATGTGCAAAGTTTGGTTAACATATGTTTAGTGGAAACTAAAGTTTAGCAGGCACTCCTAAACCATATGTATATTAGTGTGCACACACAAATATAAACTTTAAAATGATTAACATATACAGTGTATACACTATTTTTTTCGGGAATAATGAAATATTTTAAATAATCAAATTCAAATTGTCCAATCATATTACATAACAGTTGCGTTGCTCACCCTGTCCGGGTTTATTTTGCGATAATGACCTTCCGACGGTACCTTTAGTGTGTTAATATCTCTTTCAACAAACTATTCCTGTCGTTCACTCTCTCTATTACAAACCATCACTAGTCTAAACTCACTAATGCACTGCTTATATTACAGTCCCGAAGTCTGGATAAAGAATGGGGGCTGGTCTGTGTGTGCCTCTAAAAGCATCCTAGTATGTCGAACACACATAATTAAGGGACAACTTTAATCCTACAAAGTACAGCCACACTTACACAGACATGTGAATGTATGAGACTCATTCATGTAAGGGTCCCGGGACGTAAACACACCGTGAGTCTGATGCACTGCTCAATATCTTATCCCATCCCTGTCTGATCCATTCATGTCACATATGCATGAAACACACACACATAAACGCAGACGGATTTGGCCCTCGCTTGCATAGTTAAGAAAGCCCTGTGAAAACAGTCGTAAACACAGTCGCCGCTGCGAGACGTAACGTATAAACAGAACAGCTCATTTATAACCGCTAACCGGAGAGCGTTTTAGTTTGTTTGGTCTTTGCTTGAATCGTTTTTTTCACAACTGCTTCGACTACAAACTTCGAACTCCGTATTAAAATCCTTTCGCTCTGAACTTCTGAGAGCCTGTGTGTAACCGAGAGGCTGACAGAAATAAACTAGTGACATGGCTGTTTTTGGCTCTGCTCATAACAAGGCAAGAGGCATGAATCTGGCACAGGAGATCCGCCATACTTGGTTTCTCACCCGCGTCACTCTCCATCTGGCTGTCAGAGCTGTGTGCGGAGTCATTTACATCATGTAAACACCGAAACACAGACTATTCGACTACTTTTCTGGATGACTAGTAAATTAGTCAAAATGAGTGGGCGTGCAAGCCCTACTGAAACGAATCTGTTCTGAACATACAGGACATTTAAAGCAATTAAACTCAGACAAACTTTATTTTATTAAAAGCATGAAGTGTTACACAGACAGATAATGCAATGTTAAAAGAAAAATATGAAATATATACTGTGTTCAGCTAAATATATGTGTTTCGCTTCACAAATGCAAGAAATGTTAAACACAAATATAGAATATAAAAATTCTGAAAGTTATAAAATGAACATTTTAGCAAAAAGAAGAAATGGTTTTATGTTTGAGAATTTATAATTGTTTTGTTTTTATTATATAAAATAGTTTATATAGTTTGTTTATGCTTAATGCATAATAAAACTGCATAAAAAAGTTTACGTCACATAAGAGAATCACAATTCTGTTAATGATCTGTTAGCTTATAAAAATATACATATATATCCTAAATATATTGTGTTCAAAAAAGCTATTTTTTTTATCTTAAAAAGTAAAATAAACAAACAAAAGATGTTTGGGACATCATAAGTAAAAATGCTTTATGAAGAGACTAAATATGTCCTCATCCCATCTAAAAATGCATTTAGAAGAATACGATTTTAGATAAATAAAATAACAAATTAAAAAAGCAAGTAAAATAGTTGGTTAGACTATTTTAAGGTGGCGTAGCTACATTGTACTAATAATTCAAATAAGTGCTGAGTAATGTTAATTAACTACATGTACTTACAATAGAGTTACGGTCAGGGTCAGGTTTAAAGTTAGTTACTTGAAATTGAAATTATAATTTACTGTCTTTACTATAGCAAGTGCATGTACAGTAGTACTGCGTAACAACGTCACCTTAAAATAAAATGGTTTGATTCACAGAGACGCAAATGTCTTGATTCACATCTAAAAGTTGGATTTCAGTATTTTGGGATTAGATGCATTTTAGGACATTCTACCGTAATTTTAATTAGCCGAATGAAATAACAATAGAAGTCAACAGGGTGTCCCCAATTACACAGAAAAGCACACATGTGATTATGTGTGTTTGAAGTAACACATCCACACATACGCTCCACCAGAAAGAGGTATGACCTTTAACCCAAACCAAAATCAGTATGCCTTATACACCTGTCAATCAAAACCTAGAGCCATCAATCAAACCCGCAGGGGTCTGGAGATAATGAGCGTACACGGGTGAAAAGAAAAAGATCAATACAACCGATGCAAGAAAGTGAAACTGCAATGAGCAGAAGAAAAGATAAGACAGGATAATAGATTAAGAACAGACAAAAGAGAGCTACAACTGTGTCTTTATCTGCTGGGCTTTGTCAACCAAGACCGGCCGTCTGAATGGGCCTGAACTCAATCAAAATCTCTTTTTCTCTCTCTGTCACTCTGATGGTTGAATAAAACCCCTGAGGACAGAGATTTTCACACACAAAGAGACACTTTTCATTCCTTCACACAGCCAAATAATCACTGCGAATCTGTCGGAGAAGCCCGACTGCTCCGGAAATCTGCTTCCTGCTCCACATTCACAGTCTCGTCTACGTGTGTGAATCTATTATGAAGATTTAAAGGAGCCTAATGTCTATATACCGCATCTGGGGAATGCTGTTGATCACCACAGACAATAATGTCGACTCATCCCTCAGTTTGTAAAAGCAAGTGGGAAACGTGCCTGCACTTACAATGGAAGAAAAGCAGACAAGCAGGTCAGAGGGTTTAAAGGCAGAAATGCAAAGATGTATTTTTGCTCTAGCTAGCACTTGAATGAATTCTTTAGCAAAAAATAAAAAATAAAGCTTGAGGTACTTTTGATTATGTGTTACCGATGTAATTCCTACAGGTGGAGTTTTAGAAATGTGAAGAATCCGATTTTGGTAAAAGCACAAACAAGAAATAATTTGTGTAAAAAATAAAAAAATCAGCTGTAAAGTTGTCTAAAAAGTCCTTTTGAGCCACAAATACTTTTTCTTATCGATTTAATTGTGTTTTAGAAATGTGATGCACCTATACTAAGTTTCTCCGCCGATACCGATAGCCGATTATTCAGAATATCTGCCGATATTGATACTGATACCGATAGTTTGATTTTCTTAAGGAAAGAAAAATCTTTGCCAACTACTGTTAACTACAAACCAACTTTGCTAACTATACAGGGAACCCTCTCATTTGGTACATTGCTATAATATTAGAGGTTAAAATGAACAACAGAGCTATTACATATTGAAATGCTATTTATTTTCAGATATAATAACACTCAAATTAAAACTGAAATGTTTGCACATAAGGTAGTTTTAATAAACTTTATTTAAATTTATACGAATACACATATATAATTAACAGTATACAGTAGGGATGTCACGGTACCAAAATTCCAGTAGTCGGTACCGATACCATTAAAATGTTACGGTTCTCGGTACCAATTTCGGTATTCCGCCGCCGGTCGCCATGTCTCAGCGCTTTCATGAACTGACACTACTGGAACTTCACATGGGACGGGTTCTATGGTCAGATGAAACAAAAAAAAAATCTACTTTTTTGGCAGAAAAAAAGCTACTTTCCTCCCACTTTCTATTCTTTTACTTCAATGAAAGGTTAGATTTTTG